CGAAGCCTAGGTTTGAAATGGCATTAGTACTGGGGAAGAGGTAGTGGTGGTGAATTTTGATATAGCTTCCTCACAACCTTGAACTAAAGACATGGCAGAACAAGATGTCAGATGCTACCAAACTGAGAAGACTTTGAGTACAGAGACTCTATATCTGTGGTCTAAGGACTTGGTCTAACTACTAAGTAAGAAGAAATTGGCCACTAGATGGTGATTCTGGGGGACTCAGAAACTCATAGGGTCATAAAGTTTAGATATAGAAAGAACGTTAGAGACCATCTAGTCCAGTCCCTTACTTTACTGATAGGGAAATAGGGATCCAGAAAAGTGAATGACCTGCCCCAGGTTACATGAGTAGTAAAATAGGGACCTGAACGTAGGTTCACCAGTGAGAGGAACTCTTGGCTCCCCCTAGCCTAGCCCTTCTCCTGGGAATCCCCCTTTACTTTTCTTCTTCCCTTTCTTCTCTGAGGCCTGGTATTTGACTTCTCTTGTATCTTCCAGACGGACCAGCAGGCAGAAGCCCGGTCCTTCCTCAGTGAGGAAATGATCGCTGGTGAGTATGTATTTTGAGAGCTGGGCAGTGGAAGAAAGTGTTCTTGGCTAGGAGTGGACTTAAGGCTGTGCAATTCCTTGAGGTTAACAGATCCTCCTTGTTATTCTTCTGCCACCCTCCCTCTCAGAGTTCAAAGCTGCCTTCGACATGTTTGATGCTGATGGTGGTGGTGACATCAGCACCAAGGAACTGGGCACAGTGATGCGGATGTTGGGTCAGACACCCACCAAAGAAGAGCTGGATGCCATCATAGAGGAGGTGGATGAAGATGGTGAGCTGGGGGATCTCCTGGGAGGTATGAGGAGTGGGTGACTGCATTTGGGCAGGCCTCTGATGCTCACTCTCCCAAACCCAGGCAGTGGCACCATCGACTTTGAAGAGTTCTTGGTCATGATGGTGAGACAGATGAAAGAGGATGCGAAAGGAAAGACTGAGGAGGAGCTGGCTGAATGTTTCCGTATCTTTGACAGGTCAGGCCTGGTGCCCATTGGGCCATGATTACCTGGGAAGGTGTTAGTGAGAGGAGGGAGTGGAGATGAGCTGCTCCAGGGGTCTTAAAGTTCAGCCTCAGCCCTAGTGGGGCGGGCTGGAAAAGATGTGCAAGTGGGTGGGGAGAAGAGGGGGGCTGGAGAGGAAGTCGAGTAAGCCTCGCTGGGCTGAAGTGGGAAGAGGGGGCCCTGGGTCCCAGGCCTTGGAAGATGTGAACTAAATGATCTTTAAGGACGCGTTCAGCACTGTAACCTTTGGTTCATTGCAACACAGTATGTGGGGCAGTCCCTCTGTCATTCTCTTGAGGGACTACCTGAAGAATACCTGGTCTCTTTTCCCTTTCCTCCCCTCCCCTTCCCCCAAGGAATGCTGATGGCTATATTGATGCTGAGGAGCTAACAGAGATCTTCCGAGCTTCAGGAGAACATGTGACAGATGAAGAGATCGAATCCTTAATGAAGGATGGAGACAAGAACAATGACGGCCGAATTGACTTTGACGGTGAGGGGCAGGTGGAGGGGGAGGGGCGAGCATGGGGACAGTGGGGAGGGAGTGGGGGGGAGGGAGAGGGATTGAATAGGCATGTTCTGAGGGAGGGTCAGGGTCGGGAATGGCGAGCTCCGAGACCCTGCTTCCAATTCTAGCCCTGCCTCCCAACTTGCTACGTAGCCTTGGATGAGTCGTTTTCTTTCTTCAGGCCCATTTTTGTTTTTTGTACAATGAGGAGTTTGATTTCATTTCTAAGGTCCCTTCCAGCTGTGATATACTGTAACATATATACATCAACAAGCAGACATTTTCACTAAGAACTTACTGAGGCAGGGAGGGTGAGACTTTGTCCTGAGGCACAGACACAAAGATAAAAATAGTCCTGTCCCTCAAGAAGCTTCCAGTCTAGACATGGGTCCCCAAGGGGTGTAGTGAAGGGTATTGCATTTGAAGTCAGATTAGGGGAGCCTGAGCTGGGCACTGCCACTTACTATCTAAGCATCCTAAGGCAAATCACTTGCCCTCTCTGGCATCAGTTTTTCTATAAACTGAAGGACTTACAGTCCTTTGTCTCTGAGTTCCTTTCCAGGTCTAAATTGTATGAATCAATAACCCTGGGCAAGCCAGGACTGTGTGCACAGTACAGTCCAGGTCTGTGGCCTTCCCCCATAACTCGGTGGTCCCACCCATACCTTTTCTGATTCCTCTCCTCTCCCCTTTCTTCTTGCAGAGTTCCTGAAGATGATGGAGGGTGTGCAGTAAGAATCCAGCACGGCTCACTCTTGTTTTGCCCCACCCTGCCCTTCCCCACAAGGGTTCATTCTGAGATTCAACTGGCTCCCATTTCCCCTGAGACCATCCAGGACTGTTCATCCCTCTCCACTGTCCTCTGCTGCCCTGTTCCCTCCCTTATGTGATATTCCCTCTCCACTCCCTCCTTTGCTCTCCCTCTCCTAGGCCAGGAATGTGTAAATGTCACTAATAAAGGAAAAAAAAGATTTCAAATGGAGCGGGCCTCAGGGGTCTGGGCTGCTCCACCAACTGGGCCTAGAGAACACTGGGTTTATCTAAATCAAAATTCTTGGACCCTGGGCCAGTTACTTAATCTCTCTCTGCTTCAGTTTGTTCATTGACCAAATGGGGATACTAGCACCCAAGTCACAAGGTTGTGGTGAGGATAATGTAAAGTCCTTTGCAAATCTTAAAGGCTTTGTTTCTAAATAGAAATGTTAGCTATTGTACTTTAGGTTTGATGTGAGGAAAAAAAAAACCTGAACAATTACAGCTAGAGTGTGACCTTGGGCTTTCCAAAGTGGAATGGGCCATCTCAGGAGATAAGGAGTTGGCCTCCATTCCGAAGGTCTTCATATAAGGCCTAGATACTCACTGGTCAATAGCTTGTTAAAGGCAGTCTGGTTCAGGTCGGACAGGGATGTGGGGGGAGGGCTGGCTATAGACCGAAGGCTCGGTCTATGCTTAGCTTCTGGTCACACAGTTAGTGTGAGAGTCGGGGATCAAACCCAGGAGGGCCGAGGGTAGCGGGAAGGGGGAAGAAGGGGAAAGCAGGCTAGCCAGTCGATGCAGCTAGGGTAGAGGGAGCTGGTGGGTCGGCGCTTTCTGCTGTCTCCGCCTTCTCCGGATCCAGGAGGGGTGGGGAAGGGGCTGGCCGCTGGCAAGGGCGGAGGCTGGAAGCGAGAGAGGACTGGGCTTTGGTACTCCAGACTGAGGTCAAAGCCAAGATCGCCCAAATCGAGGGAGGCATGCGGGGCGCGGGGCCAGGGGAGAGGGCGCGGGAAGCCCGTGAGGCTGTGGCCGAGTGCAGGGCGGCGTACGAAGCGCTCAACAGGTTCACTGCGAGCTACAGGCAGTTGGTGCTGGGAGTGGGCAGCTCGGCTGACGGAAGGAGGCTGCGCCGGGCTCTGGAGGACAGCGGCCGCAGGGGCTTCGAGCTGAGTCTGGGTGAGCGGACAGGGCACGGGGGCGGACGCAAGGGGCAGGAGCGGGCGGGCCAGGGGCTTCCAAGCCGCCTAGGGGGAAGGGCACTGCGTTTGGAACAGACACTGGGTTCGAATTCCGACTCCGCAGCTTTGTTGCCTGGCTTTCTCTTCGGTAAAAGGTGGGGGGACTAAGTGGCCCTCTTAGGGATACCTGGTCACACTTGCAGGCCGTCCTCCAGATCATAGTGATCATTTCAGCGTATGAAAGCGAGGTCCAGAGCTTTTAAAGTTCTCACTGTAGCTGCTGAGATCTTTGTAACCCCCTGCCTGCCCTCCCCCTTCCCTGACTGCGGCTGCCCCTGCTGTTTGCCTTTTCTTTCCTGTCCCTCCACCAGGACTACGGAACCAGCTTTTGGCTGAGCTCACAGAACCAGGGGGCAGGCAGGAAGAAGAGGTGAAGATGGAGCTGGAGCGGATCTGGGTGCTCTGTCTGTCTGCCTTGGAAATTTTCCTGCAGGATCTGGGTCGGGCCCATGACCTCAGCCAGCTCTTCCCATTGCCATCTCTGGCCCCAGAGACCCAGTTGGTCAACACTGGAGTTACATCCTTTGGGCCCAAGGGATGGAGCCTGAGACGGCCCAGTGGGAAGGCCTCTGAAAGAGCTAGGGAGCTGCCTGAAGAGCTAGCCCAATGGGGGCAACGCCTGGAAGAGATGCTGGTGGAGATGGAGACCAAGGTCAATGTACCTGTGTGGAGTGTGGAGGCCACAGTGGATAGTCCTGGAGCCGAAGAACCTAGCCTTGAGGGCTCAGCTGGGAGGAGTCCTCGGGGATGCTGTGCCCGGGCTCCACTCAGGCTTCAATCTCATTGTATAGTGGCATGAAGGAATCTAGGGCTAGTGCAGGGACATCTCCCCCCTTCCCTTGGGAAGTCAGTAGATCTTCTACACCAGGGGAACCACTTTCAACATAAGGCTAAATCACTTTCTTTCCTAGTTCAAATCCCAGAAGGATGTGTGACAACCAGGGGTCATTAGAAGAGAGAAATAAGTCTCTTACCCCAAGAGTAAGGCTGAAGTGCAGCTACAAATATAAAACAGCTGGGAGGCAGGATAACAGTAAAGAAACAAACTACACAGAGTATAAGACGCAGGTTCTAGGTCCATTGATTTAGCTATGTCTGGTTTTCACTTTTCCCATCTATGGTAAAGGATCGGTTTGGATGAGCTGATCCAGTTCCAGGATTCTTTCTAATTCAAAACATTCCATGGCCTATGTTCTAATGTCCTCCCTAGCTCTGACACTGTACACTGCTTGCTAGAGAGACTAGCCCAGACCCTGGGGAATTGTTTCCTCTAGGACTAGGCTCAGCTTACAGCTCCTTCGTTTGCCATCCTGCCTCTAGAGAGCCAAACAACACAGTAACAGCTTAAACAACAACAAAACTTCATTTATTTATACATTAATGTTGAGGGCTGGACAAGAGTTTAAGAAAAAAAAAAGGAAAGGAAAACAGTCTATGAAAGAGTCCTGTACAGAAAAAAGGAGAAGACAGGTTATGAGGAAGGGAAAAAGATAGACGCATACATATACACATACACACAAGATGAAGGAAGGTGGGCTGGGCAGCCAGGGTCAGGGCTCTTGGCTAGTCACCTGCTTCATGTACGTTTCCAGCAGGTACTTTTTAAAGGCTGAGGAGAGAAAGGATGAGTAGGTAAGCAACTAGCCTGGGGGTTTTCATGGACATGCCAGTGTTTTGGCAAACCCCCAAAAGGGTTAATGTTAAGTCTAATAGTTTTAGAAATGGGATAGTCTGGCCCTGACCTTTCTCCAGTTTCTTCCTTCATCCTAAATTGCCCCTTTTCCCTCTAATCACTTCTAGGGGAGGTGCCAGCAGCAAGGTGTTGTGTCTGTACCCTACCTTTGCCCAAAATCTCCTGAGGAGCTACTAGAAACTAGTAGAATTCATTCCCTTCCTAACCAAAGTCCAGTGTTTGTTCCCATACACACTAAGCTCTCCCTCCTAAGATTCTTTCTGTTCCATTCACTTAAGAGTATACATATTGTAGTTAAAAGCTCTCCAGGAATTTTTGCAACAGCTATTGTAAAAGTAGCACCATGGTGAGGTTTATCATTCTACCCACGTGCCATTTGCCCAATATGTTCTCAAGGAAAAGGAGTTGAATCTATATGGAGTAGGATTTCTTCATTTTAAATCCTCTAGGTTTTAGCAGACGACCTACCTGTGGGGTTTGTCCAAAGTTCAGCAGCATGTGTGTTCAATGGGCTGTCAATGTTGGGTTCTGTAGGTGGAGACAACATGTTAGGAAGGAAGGTCCAGAAAAACAACTGTCAGGGAAATTGGAGCTCTGTGGGAACCAGGCTCAGAAGTGTAGTAATAGTTAGGCTAGGTGGCTTCTGACATTCTATGTTCTATGGTCCCTTCTAGACTTGACATTCTGTGAGTTACAAGATGGTAAAAGGAGAGTAAAAAGTAATCCTAAACCTCAGTGGATAGTTAGGGGTGAGGGCAAGGGCACAGAGGAAATCCCAATGAGCTAGCAGGCATCACCTCCCAGCAGGCTCTGGATAGATAGCAGGATGGTCCTGACATCATACAGAGCTGACCACTTGTCCTTGAGGATGTCCAAACAGATATTGCCTTGGGTGTCCACATTAGGATGGTAACAAGGTGTGACAAATTTCACAGTGGGAGCATTATATGGGTAGCCACTGGGGAATTCCAAGGAGAGCTTGTACCTTAGGTCTTCATATACCTGGGGAGGAAGAAGCACCCAAATAAATTAGTGAGTGGAATATGGTGGGCTTGAGGGGACATCTAAGCTACAGGAGGCACTTTGGAAGAGTCAGAAGGCCTGAGTCTTAGTCCCTAGTTCATAGGCAAGTCTGAGTTTCAGTTCTTCATCTATGAAATGGTATTATCACCATATGCCCTTCCTAGTTCACAGGGCTATAGAGATGATCAGTTGAGTCAAGGGATGTGAAAACCCCTGAATAACAAAATTGTAAGAGATTATCACTATTTCAGGGTTGGGTTTTCTCATGTCCCCCTCAAGGGATTCCTCTCACCCAATCCCTCAGTTCAGCTATATACCACAAAGCAAACTCCATCATGTCCCACCCATTTCCAATCCATGATACTCACTGTCCCAGCTGCCCCATGGATGGTCCCAACCCACTTGAAGAGATTGTCTGACTCTGGGAAGGCAGAGATTCCTTTGTCTCCAGACATCTGCAGAGGAAGAATAAACCTTTTCTGGGGTGGGTTGCTGAGCATGCAGCCTTAGATGATCCCTAAGGTCCCTTCCAGGACCCTGTGCCTCTAAAGGGGAGGGAGAACAGTTGGGTGAAAAGGCAGCAGCCTAAAGCCATACTATTTTTCTTATTGATGACCCCAATAAAATACTCCCAACCTGGCTGATTAGGTTGTTTTTTGCTTTTGGGGGTGGGGTGGGGAGGAGTCAGCAACCAACCAGTCCTCCCGGGGAAGGCTATTGGTTAGAGGTGGAGTTGTAAAATCCCACACGTTCTCCAGGTGCCCCTCGGTTTAAAAAAACAAAAAAAGGAGTTTGGACTCCGAGGTCCCGTTTCAGCTGAGAGTCTTTGCCTTTGGTGGAGGGGGGGGGGAAGGAAGGGCTGTGGGTTGGTCTGGGCTGGAGCCAGAGGGCTGGGCAAGGGCCTTCTGGCTGCTGGGGCTGGCCCTGGCAGGCACTTACCATTAGGGTCATCAATTCCTGCTGTAACCTGCGGAGAAGGGGCAGGGAAGGGTTCGGTTACTGAGATTAGGAACCAGCCCAGCCTTACCCCAACCTCCTCCCACTCGACCCCCACGCTCCAAGCCCGACCTCCGGCTGATGGGGTGTCCACTCCCCAGCCTGCCCACCCTCCCCAGCCGCACGGCAAACCGGCTTCCAGGCCATTCGCGCCTCGGGATTCGGCAACTCTCACCTCTTGCCCACAGACCCGCGGGCAGCGCCCGCCCCAGGCTCGCCTCCCTTACGGGCAGCGGCGGCAGCACTGGCAGCAGCCGGGTCGCGGTTCTGCGAGGCCATGGGGGACCAGAGATAAAGGAAGAGAAACTCCCGGGCGGCAACTGCGCGGCTCCAAGCCCGCCCGCCCGCGTTTGAATTGTAACCCTCCGGCGGCGTCAACCAATCGGAGCCACGCTTGGGTTTGATCCAGCCAATGGATCAATCCAAAGCGCCTCGTCACCTAGAAACCTGTAAATCCACCCACCAGAGTGATAAGAAATGGCCAGCCGGGGCTCCATCCCGAGACGATGATTGGTAGCTGGGACTGTCTACTAACCAACGATCTTGTGGATGATTGGTGGCCTTTGGGGAAGGCGGATTCTTAAAGGGCTACAGAAAAGTACACGTGGGAAAGCCGTGAATTCCAATTAGTTAAACCGAGGAGACACCCAGAGATTGAGCTCCTAATGGGTGGGACACAGGGTTTGGGAAGGGATCTAAGGGGTCATCTAAGGCTGCACGCTTAGCAACCCCAACCCACCCTTCCTACTCGAGGCCTAATTCTGGAACCCAGAGTGGGGTTGGGGCAGGAAGAAAGCCACTGGTTTTTTGTCCAGGTGACCCTTTCTCTCTCTTCTCCAGTTAGTTCTTATTCGAATGGCCCTGTTTAACACTCCCCATTCTAGGTCTCCTCACAAGAGCAGCACCAGAGTCTGGAACTCCCAACAGAAGAGGGGAATTTATAGCATATCCCCTCCTCCCCCCACGTACCCTTCCATCCAATGACACTGGCCTTCTTGGTGCACCCTGAACAAGACGCTCCATCTGGGTTCTGGGGTTTTTCTCTGGCTGTCCTCCCCCACCCCCCAAGCCCGCCCTCCATGCCTAAAATCCTCGCCCTCCTCCTCATGGCTTCTTTTGAGTCCCAGCTAAAATCCCACTTTGTACAGGAAGCATTTCAAAATTTCTCTTTAGTGCCTTCCTTCTATTGATTATCTCCACTTTTATCTTGTATATAGCTTATTTGAACATAGTTGTTTGCATACCGTTTGCCCCATTAGACTGCGAGTGGCACTCTGACACTTACAGATGTCTCAAGGCGGTCAGAGCAGTGGCACCTAGAATTTAACCTGGAGAGGACAGCATGACAACGGATAGTGCTAGAACTGGGATCAGAACACCTGGGTTCCTATCCTGCCTTAAACAGTTATTTACAAACTGTGATACATGGTGTGTCTCTGAACCTGCTTCCTCATCTGTAAAGTGTTAATCATATTTATACTACTTCATAGGGTTGTGAGGAAAGTGCTTTGCAAATCTTAAAAAGCATCATATAAATATGAATTGAGATTTTAGAGACCCCCTAAAAAGGTAGAAGGGGAGTTGTAAGGGACCACAGATCAACTCACAGCTCAACAAAAATTCCCTGTATAACATCTCTAACAAGTGGTTATTTGAACTTCTCTTGAAGATTTTTAGTGTTGGGTAACTTATTTTACAGATAAGTATATTGAACAAAGCCCAGAGGGGAACTAATTTACCCAATGTTACATAGCCAGTTAATGGCAGGAGTAAGCTGTTTCTCATCTACCCAGGCTAAGTCTTCAGTTTGCATCCATATTCAGTACCTTAGGGTCATACTTAAAAGAGACTTCAAAGATCATTCAACCAAATCTCCTCATTATACAGATGGGAACAAGTGACTTGCCAAATAACACAAAAGACAGCTGCCAAGAATAAAACCTGGCTAACCTGCTGCCCAAGCCTGTGATTCTCTGAAGTTCATGCAGTCAACAAAAACAACTTCTTTTCAGCCAGGGACCCAGAGATTTAAGATCAGATCCTGTGCCTTCCTCTTCATAGCTGCTGCTTCTTGTTTTGTCATAAATCAGCATTTATTATTTAAGTTAAAGAACAGTTTATAAAGGAGGTAGGGGGCACATTCAGAACAGAGTCTAAGGTGGAGCCCTACGGGAGGGTGAGAAGGGAGGAAACAGGGAGACCAGAGCTTCTCATCTGTCTGCTCTAGACGGGGTCGATCCTGATTTCAGTCTTGGTCCAGGGCACACAATGAAGCACATGATAAGATAAAGTTCCAAGGGGTACAAAAACAGCAAGGGGTGGCCAAAGTCACACATCCAACCAAAGGTGGGGGCTAGGATTTCCCTTAGATCAACAGCACTGCTTCCTTTTATGGAATTGAAGCATAGTCTGATTAAGTTCCATCCCACGATTTTCAGCTCTTATGAAACAGCCTTGTAAAGTCTTTGTGCTAAAGAACTTTCATCTCCTCTTTAACTTTTTGTACCTTCTTCTAGTTTCTTTGAATAGGCATCCAACTTGTAGGCTGCCAGCTCAAGAGTTGCTACTTGCTCCTCAGTTAAAGTGATGTGATCCAGATGAGGCTGAAGTGCTGCATATTTCTGGCTTCAGTCCTGTAGCTTTCTGCGTACATTTACCGCAATTATCTTTCATTTCTAGATACTTTCAGCTAGTCTGTTTGTTCACATTTTCCAGAAATTTAGTCTTCACTGGTGGCTGTCAGCTTACCTGTTAGGTACACGTCCATTTTGGAGAACACGTCCTGGCACAGCCCTGTGATGTGCGCCGTGTTGGGTTCCACGGCCTCCTCTACTACTGTATCTTCTAGGCCAGTGAAAGGAGGAAGGAGAAAGAATAGGGATGGGAGAGAGGAGGGAAGGAAAAAGGAGATAGAAAGGAGAGGGGAGAAAAAGGGCTCAAAGTTTCTTTCTAGAGGAAGCACCTCTTTATCTTCAAGGACCACTTCTAGAACAGCAGAACCACCCCCTTCTTACAATGGGGGACAGCCCACCACAGATACCTACAATTATTCCATGGGCCTATGTGACTACCAAGTTCTTGCATCTGGATGTTCTGTATCTGTCTTCTATTGGAGGAATTAGGAATCAGTTGTTCGTCCAGTGTCTTGAGGTAGGGGCTAAAAAGGTTTGGTGAGGTAAGAAGTCACACCGATTTTCCTCCCGAATTAGCCTGAATTCTTATAGAGTAGAAGTGGGAAGAGACATAAAGTAGGCCATGTTTTATTGCAGTTTGGTACAGTGCAAAGAGCAAGATAATTTGAGCCAGGATGTGTGAGTCTCAGCTATCGCTTTCAAGTTATGTCTTTGCAAGCCTGTTTCCTCATCTGTAAAATAGAAACATTGTTATTTCTACCACCTAACTGCACAAGGGACACTTGGACCTGACATAGCACCTGGTTTTTGCACATCTCAATTATCGGTTGTATTCTAATTATCTATGTACGATTTAAACAAACATTAAGTATGTTTGAGGAAATGTGCTGGGGTACAAAGACAAAAAAATTCCCCACCTTCAAGGAATTTACACATGTTATAGTAAGAATATGGTGAGATACACATGATTACAGTGTGGGTAAGTGCTGGAACCTATCTACGATTTACTAAGTTTATATACTTTATAATTTTTACAAAATTCATATTATATTTATAAAATTTATAATCATGATATAATTTATATAATTTACAATGATTACTAAGTCCTATCTAGTGCAGAAGTAGGATCTGAACCCAGGTTTTTGATGAGTCCAAGCCCAGCAGTCAATCATGATAACCTATACAGAAAAGCATATAATTTGAGGAGGGAAAAAACACTATTTAACTGGGGGGGTAGGAGGTGGGGATCAAGGAAGGCTCCGTGGATAAGGGGACCCCTTAACTAAGTCTTGAAGTAAGGTAAAGATTATAAAGGACGGGCATGTTTTTTTTAATACTCCTCCTCAGACCGAGCTGCTTCTGGTGAGGGGAGGTGTTTTATTTAAACTTATCTGTCCAGTACTGACACAGTGCTCTGCAAATAGGGAGTGTTCAATAAATATTTACTGAATGAGTGTGAAGCACTACAGAAATGTAAGCTGTTATCACGACTGTTCTCACTCTAGAGAGCGAGGGCCTCTACCAGCCTTCTTTCCAAACACCCACCTTTTCTCCAGGGCATCTGGCTGCTCTCATCTGGACATACTAGTCTCCACAGTAGGTTCTACCATCTGTATTTATTACAAATCATTCAAGTGCTTTCCAGTCCAATAAATTCACAAAAACACAAAACCAAGTATGCCTCTCTGGGGGTGCTGAACAGTGACCAGCTGCAAACCAGTTTGGGCCCTGTGTGAAAGCTGCCCTTGGAGAACAGGCTAAGGAGCAGCAGTGTAGCTTCCCCACAGCCAGAGGAGGGGGCACCTGGCCTTAAGTCCTGTTTGAGGGACACCTGACGAAGGATTCCAGGGGCAACCAAGGAGCTAGACATCATGTCTCAGGAGGCACTTCACTAGGACGCTGTTCATTCTCAGTCCTGAGTGTTTCCATGTATTTCCTCATCTTCTCTGCCATCCAGGAAGGAGGGACAAAGGGCTTTAGCTCCTCCATCTTCAGATCCAGGCAGCCCCTGGGGAGGCAATGGTTAGGGGTAGAGAGGGGAAGGGATGGAAGAACAGGGTAGTAAAGATGAGGGACCATGTTTGAAGATGGGATTGGCCACTGGGGACAACAGCAGGGGGATCCTGAGGCTGGTTCTGGGGGTTTCTCACCTGTAGTCATCACTGGCAGCTAGGTCTCGAATGTCTTCTTCAATGAGGAGATAGGCCTACAGATGGAGAAGAAAGGAGAATGGCCAAAGCTATGAAGGCTCTTGGGCTTCCCTTACTGCTTCCAGAATGGGAGAGGAGAGGCTCTTAGGAGAAACTTTAGTCCAGGTAAGAGCCTAGTCTCAAAAGTAGGCAGACCGGGGCACAGACAAGTGACAGGGGTTGTCACATGCATGAGGAATTAGATTTATTCTTCTTGACCCCAGAAGGCACAATAATACCAATATGTGAAAGTCAGAGGTACATTTTGTTTTCTAACAAACTGTAGCTATCTGAAAGTGAAATGTGTTTCTCTAGAAGGTGGTAAGTTTCCTGCCACAGGAGGTATTTAAGCTATTGCTTGTTCAGGATGCTGGAGTAGGGAATGAATGCTTCAGAAAGGCTTCTTCTAACCCTACGAGATTCCAGGGAAAGCTAAGAGAATTGGGTATCTCCCTTTTCTCTAATTTTCAAGTTTTTCCCTATCCACTGGATCCTTCTTTTTTGGGGGGGGTTAAGTGACTTGCCCAGGTCACACAGCTAGTGAGTAGTTCTGAGGCTGGATTTGAACTCAGGTCCTCCTGACTCCAGGGCTGGTGCTGTATCCACTTCACCACCTACCTGCCCCATACGGGATCCTTCTTTACTGCCTATAAACACATCCAGGTCTCTCCAAACCTTAACAAGTCCTTACCTGACTCTGCCACACCCCTCAAGCTATGGTCTTATTTTTCTCCTTTCTCTCATAGTCAAACTCCTAGATCAAATTATCTACACTTGCTGCCTCCATTTCCTCTCCTCTCATTCACTTCTTAACCCTTTGCAATCTGGCTTCTCACTTCATCAGGCAATGGAAACTGCTCTCTCCAAACTTACAAATAATCTCTTCATTAGCAAATCTGATGGCCTTTCCTCAGTCCTCATCCATCTTGATCTCTCTGCAACATGTGACACTGACCACTCTTCATCCCTTCCTGGATTCTCTCCTTTCTAGGTTTTCTTGACACTGTTTCCTCCTGGTTCTTCAACTACCAGTCCAGCCACCCGTCCTCACTCTCCTTTACTAGACTATCGTCCATATCAATCTCATTGCTTAACACCTTTTGTACCCAAAAGCTGGGTCCTAGACCTTTTCTTAATCTCTTTATAGTTCCTGCTCTCTCTGTGATCTCATCAGCTTCTCTGGTCCCAATGATTGCCACACAGACGACTCCTAGATTTATATAGCCAGCGCCAGTATCTTTCTTGAGTTCTAGATTTGGATATTTGCCACTAGCTATCTCACGAGCATTCAACACGAAATTCAACAGATACAAAAGAAAACCCAGTATTTTCCCCCTCCCAAACCTCCTCCTTCTCACTTCCCTGTTTTCCACGGGAGTGGCATCACCCCTGACATTTCACTCTTCTTCAGAGCCCATATCCAGTTAGTATCTTGTCAATTCTTCTTCCATGTCTTTCACAGTCATTCTGTCATCTCCAGTCACAGAACCACCACCTATTTTAGATCTTTATGCCTTCCACCTAACACGACTGTAATAGCTGTCTCATTGCTCTCTCCTTGCTGCCAGTCTCTCCTCTCTCTAAGCCATTACACAGTTGCCATAGTGATACTGCCAAAGCTCAGATCTTTACTGAAGAAGCATGGGTGACTCCTTATCTCTAGGGTCAAACACAAACCTCTCCACCCAGCATGCAGAGCCCTTATGCTCTGGTTCTATCTATCTCTCTGGGTTTTTTCCACATTCCACACACTTGAAAATCCAGCCAAACTCACCAGCTTACTGTTCCTCACACACAACATTCTATCTCCAGTTTTCGTGTCTGTGCGCAGGTAGTTACCAGTGCCTGAAAGGTTCCCCCTCCTATATGACCCTTAGAATCCCTAGCACACTTCAATATGCATATCACATGCTATTCCTCCTACATGTGGTCTCTTCTTATCCCTCTGAAATCACTTAGCATCTACTGTGTATGTAATCTGTATTTTCTTTTTCTTTTATTTTTTTGATGAGGCAATGGGGTTTAAGTGACTTGCCCAGAGTCACACAGCTAGTGTTATGTGTCTGAGCCTGGATTAGAACTCAGGTCCTCCCGACTTCAAAGCTGGAGCTCTATCCACTGTACCACCTAGCTGCCTGATGTATTTTCCATGTTAGAGGCAGCTAGGTGGTGCAGTGGATAGAGTCCAGCCCTGGAGTCAGGAGGACCTGAGTTCAAATCTGACCTCACACCACATAACACTCACTAGCTGTGTGATTCCGGGCAAGTCACTTAACCCCACTTGCCTCACATTAAAAAACAAACAAAGTTACCCAGCTACAAAGAGCCACAATTCACAAGTGGAATTATACCCTTTATATAATAGTGGAAAGAGCACTAATTCTAGAGACAGAGGACCTGGGTTCAAATTCCACTTCTGATGATTACTATTTTTGTGCTTTAGTAATCTGTAAAAAGAGAGGATGAGATAAAACCGCTTCTTCAATCTGTTCTAGCTCTAGATTGATGACCCCGGATCCTATAGTGTGGAAGATGAAGACACGTCTTCTTCATGGTTAGAAGCCCTCCCCTCTCCTCCCCAAACAAAACCTGACAACTGAGCTTTTATTTTGACCTCACAAAGCCTGACCCCTGATCCCAATAGACCCTTTCTCACCAACCACTGGAAAGGACACTTACCATTTTGCCACCGGTGGCCCTCATGTGGTGCTGTTCTGCTAGCCAGTGCTTGTCCTGGGGGTCAGCTGCATACTGTAGGGAAGGGAACCACAGGGTGGGGAGATCAGGTTGGTTTGGCCTTTTCCTGATCTGTGTCCCCAAGCCCTTTTCTATCTGGTGGATCTCATGGAGAAACATAGCCTTGTTCTGGTCTCAGATAGCAACAGACAGTCCTTGGGTCTTTCTCAACAACTACTTTTAAGCACAGGTCAGTACAGGTCAGATCCACAAGGGGCTAGGCCACATCTTCCCCTCAGCCATTCTCTACTTATTCAAAGCACAGGTGGTCTCAGGCACCAGGCTGCCCTCTGGGCTTGAGTGAAGTCACGATGACTTTTAGGCTATGTCTTGCTAAGGGTGTGGTAAGCTTCTCCTCAGGGCTTGGTGGGATGAACTGCCATGCTTAAGCACTGCCAAGTCCAAACATATCCTTACTATTAGCCTTGTAATATGCTTTTCTTTTTTTTTTTCTTTTTGCTGATGCAATCAGGGTTAAGTGACTTGCCCAGGGTCACATAGCTAGTAAGCATCAAGTGTCTGAGGTCACATTTGAACTCAAGTCCTCCTGACTCCAAGGCAGGAGCTCTATTCACTGCTCCATCTACCTGCCCCTTAATGTGCTTTTCTAAAGTCATTTGGCCACATAAGAAATTTTAAAGGAAATTTAAAGGAAAAATAGTTAAGGAAGGTTAAAAGGGGGAATATACTCAGCTTTCTTTCAAGAATAAAAATTCATGTTTTTATAGTATTAATGTTTGCCAAATGCTTACAACTCTATGAGATGGCTTCAGTAGGTATAATCAATCCTATTTTAGTGATGAGGAAGCTGATACTCAAAAATAAAGGAACTTGCCTATGACCACATAGCTAATGTGGGAACTAGGATCTCAACTGGTCTCCTAATTGCAAATCTCTCCTTTTATGCCACCAGGCTGCTGTTCCATCCATTCTTGTTAGGTTTCTATGGGAATATGTACTTACAAGGTACTGGTGAGTGTATCTCCTATGAGGTGATGCTAGTGTCAAACCCTGTCGCTCTCCATTTTGTTCATCCTTTCCCTAGCACCCCCTTAGCCCTTTATAATCCCACCCACAACAAAACAAAACCCAATTAGACTAAAGCAAGATAACAAAAATTTTCTAACAATCATGTTTTTCCTTTGTCCCACATTTCTGATAAGATCAGTTTCTCACCTAAATTCTACTTTTTCCAGCCTGTAGATAGGGCTGGGATGGAGGAGGGGGAAGGAGCGGAGGGGAGAACAGGTGATAACAATGAGAGACTGGCAGAGGATCAGTTTTTAATGAAGGGAGACTGAGCAGGAACAAAGTAGAAAAGGGTATGCACCATGTGTGTTCAACTGTGGCATGTGCTGACAAACTGTCGTACTGAAGAAGTTGGCCCTAGCTGTTCTCATTTTCATAGAAATCCTAGCACATTGGAGGGCCAATGCAGAATTTCACAGATAAGGAAACTGAGGCCCCAGAATATGGAAGCAGCTTGCCCAAGGTCCCCTGCTGAGCTGGTGGCAGAGCTGGACCTAGAAGCTGGGTGCCTCTTTATTTCCAGTTCAGTATTCTTTCTACTGTAACTTGTGCAGGCAAGATAGGACAGTCATGCCACTGGAAGCTCCCTTGTGCCATCTTTCCTGACAACTGTTTTCTTCACACTGCAGAAGGGAATGTTCCAGGGCAGTCATTACTTACCTTAAAGAGGTGTGGGTGTTTGATATAGATCCTTCCTCTGGTGCCTCCCATGCCAAGGGCCCTAAAATAACCAATGGGGGAATGGAGTCAGGGTTTTTCCAGCAAGCTGAGGACAGAAGGACAGTGTCCTCTTTCAAGAACCTGCCAGTTGTGGGACCCTTGTGCTGCTCCCTCCCAGGAATATCAAAGTCTAATTTCTTACTTGTTGGCCCTAGAGCCCAGCACAAAGGTAGTGGATTCATTCAGCCGGGCTGGATCCCACTGTGTAAAGAGCAGAGAAGCAGAAGATGAGTATGTTAGGCAGGACAGATGCTACCTCAACCTTTAATTAATCAACTACAAACTGCAGTTTTCAAAAATGCTCTAATCACAAGCTTGTGAAGTAGGAAGGTCTAAATATTATCAACTGACGCTCAGAACTGGGAAATGATGTGGTCAGTCACACAGCTAGGAAATGGCAAAGTTGAAACTTGAATCCATGTCTAATGCTCTTTTCACTACATCTATGGTGCTTCTTGAACCAAAGAAGGGGTGAATACTTTATGCTTCTAGCTGAAGGCTGTTTTCAAGAGGTAACAGGAAAACTCCCTCTACAATGATGAGAGATAAGGTAGATCAATGTGTCCCTTTTAGTACTAAAAGGGACTTTGAAAAGAGCTCATCTAATTGATCTTCCTAACTTATACAGGAAGAAACTGAGGCTCAGAAGTTAAGTGACATGGCCAAGGTCACATAGCTCTTAAGTGCTGGGATTTGAACACAAGGTCATCTCATTTGAAGTCTAGCTCTTTCCATGGAAATGATTGTTACTTTTCAAACATTTATTCAACAAATATTTTTTGAGCATGTACCCAGCTCTGTGAATGAGGATTCATAAATATATTGGTTTCTTGTCCTCAAGGAATTTATAGTTCGCTGGAGAAATGAGATGACACAAACAGAACATCACAGAACGACAGCAGGCATCGTATAGCTAGGTGCAGAATCCTGATTTAAAGATAAAAAGTATAGATAACATTCCTCTTCAGAAGCAAAGGACATTAATAAAGATTGAAATAAATCATAATAAGCTTCATAGAGAAGACAGGACTTGAGTTGGATGGGTAATTCAGGCAGGGAAAGGAAGATATTTTGTAGAACGTCTCAAATTCATGGAGCCCTGTCCATTACCAAGCCAGTGAGCTTAGGGTCTGTGCGGAGCAGAGAAAGTTTTCTCAACAGGGAACCAAACCCTTCATTCCCATTCACAGTGGTGTACTAGAATAAGCATTAGATTTGGAATAACCAGCAGTTCCAGTCCTGGCTCTGTAACCTAAGTCAAGTCACCTCTCTTCTCATGGATTTGCCACCTAACCTACAAAATGGTGATACCAATACCCCTACTACCTATATCTCAGATTTCTTATGAGAAAAGCAATTTGGGTTTTTTTTGCCTTTTATTTTTATTTATTTATTTATGGTATATACATTTATTTATTTTTACCACAAGACTTTGAATTCCATATTTTCACCCCATCTTGCCCCTCCCCCCACCCCAAGATGGCATGCATTCTGAATACCCCTTCCCCTAGTCTGCCCTCCCTTCTCTCTCTCCCCACCCTTCTCTTATCCCTTTCCCCTTCTATTTTCCTGTAGGGCAAGATACATTACTATACCTCATTTCCTGTATTTCTTATTTCCCAGTTGCACGTGGAAACATTTTTTTAAACATATGTTTTTAAAACTTTGGGTTCCAAATTTTTCCCCTTCCTCCCACCCCACCCACCCTCACTGAAAAGGCAAGCAAGTCAATACAGGCCATACATGTGCAGTTATGCAAAACACTTCCATAGTAGACGTGTTGTGAAAAACTAACTCTATTTCCCTTAATTTCCTGCCCCCCATTTATCCTATTCTCTTTTGACCCTGTCCTTCCTCAGAAGTACTTCCTTCTGATTACCCCTTCTGCAATCTGCCCTTCTCTCTATCATTCCCCTGCTCTCTTGTCCCCTTCCTCCCCTATTTTCCTGTAGGGTAAGACAGATTTCCATACCCAATTGAGTGTGTATGTTATTCCCTCCTTAAGCCAAATCCTATGAGAATAAGATTCCCTCATTTCCTCTCACCTTCCCGTTTCCCCTCCACTGTTTTGTGCGAGATAATGTACCCTATTCTACCTCTCCCTGAGAAAAGCAATTTGTAAAGTGCTATAGAAATGTGAGGTGTTGAAGCACCTCACATATTCCACAGGGGAAAACAAGATTCCCCTCTTTTTCTAATGTACAGCAGGACAGAAAGTAACTCTCCAGAGTCCTTGGGGGCCAGAAAAAGGGCCTAATTTGGGCCAACCACTGTCACAGTCAGATACTATACCTTAGGACCCTCCCTCCGAATTGGTTCACAGGATTTTGGTTTCCACCTGGCAGGGAAAAACAGAAGAATCAGCAACTGTTCAGAGAAGTTGTAAGGTCAGTAATTAAGACGTTAGAACTTCGCTTCAGTTCCGAGCAGTCAGACTAGAAGCCATTGCAGTCATATTTCTGTCACTAACTAGCTGTGTGACCTCGGCTAAATAACTTAACTGCTGTATACTCTCAGTTTCTCCATCTGTAAAATGAGATAAAATCCCTGTACAAAATTCAGACCAAACATAATGGACAATGTTGGTATTAACTTCTTCAAGTTAAGGATTCATTCTTTCTTTCTTTTAAAACAGAAAACTACTCAAGTGTATAGTAGCCTGTACTACCATTAATAATTTCTTTTTTATGATGTTTTCCATGACTATTTTCAGGGATTGGGGGATAAGGGTTAATTTTGTGTTTAGTGTTATTTGCATAATGCATCAAAAAAATTTATTATTTAAAAAGAGAAAAATATAATAATCTTCATACTACTTTCTTCTTAGGTTGTTGTGAAGAGTATTAAGATAATCTACATATATAAGTCATAAAAAATGCAAGGTATTACACACCTAAGCCAAGGATGAATATTAATCTCCTCACCTATCTGTCCTACCCAGTTAATCAAAACATTTGGGATTCTCACTAGTGCTGCCCCTTGAATCTAATTCAACTGTGCAGAAAGCCCTTGTCTCCTCTCCCTCATTTGCTTCAGATTGTGATTACTATTGACAGTTGATATTTGCATGGCACCTTACAGTTTGGAAAGTGCCTTACATTCACAATCTGAATTGATTACTAAAGCTACCTTGTGAGGTAGGTAAAACAGGCTTCATTAATTCCCTATTTTATAGATGACGAAGCTGAAGTTCAGATAAAGTGATTTGCCCAAGGTCACACTGTTATTATATGATAGAGGTAGGATCTGAATCCAGGCCTTCTGACTCCAAATCCACTGCTCTTTCAACTATACGACAGCTTCCCTCCCCATTTATGCAGTAATGCCCCTGTCTTGTTCCCTAACCTCATCTGCCCTCATGCTAGATGCCAGTTGGAAAGCCCAGACCCCAGTCCCTACTTACACCATGCCTGAGGTTGATCTGTCATTTGAAAGGATGTGTCCTGGTGGCCGTCCCTTCCTCTGCAATAGAAAATGGCCCATCAGAAGGAGATCTTGGCTCCACAGTCTACACCCATTGGGATCCTGCCTGCCCAGTATCCTACCCTGGGCTGATTGCTACCACTAGAGTTCTTTTTTTGTTTTTAGAAGAAACCACAGCTTAAGAAACTAGATGGTGTTTGTAAGGGGTTGGGTAGAAGCAATATCTTTGAAGGTTCCTCCATCAGGGCTGGGGGAAGGGTAAAGGCAAAGGGGTGAGGTTCAGATTCTCTGGGAAGACCAGTACCTCCCATTTAAGCCTAACTGATTTCTTCCTGGCTACCAGATGGAACAGGAACACACACACACACACACACACACACACACACACACACACACACACACACACGAATATATGTGAGTTTTGTTTTTTTTTTACCTTTTTTGGGATAGGGCTTCCTCGATGGGCACATTCTTCATCTGTTTGCCGGCCACGCTGGGAAAGGACAGAGGAAAATCAGTGGGGCAGTGAAGTCTCAGAGGAGACCATCGGACTTCCTGATAATGCTGCAGAGGATATATCCCATAGGCGTAAGTCACTGACCAAGACCTCCTCTTCTAGAAGTAGGATGGCATCTTCCCTAGGCCCCAGAAAGAGATCCAATCATCTCTTATGCTACTCAGCTCCTGTGCCTCTAAAGAGTGGTCAGATCAAATTCCCAGCCAGTGTCAGATGCTTACCCCTCCCTGAAATTGGACTACTCCAACCCATTTGTGCTCCCAGGACAAAGCAGCTCTAACCTTCATCCCAGGAAGTTCATGAGTCAGTCTGGGTATCACTTTCTCTCCATCCGAAAACAGCAGCTTAGCCTAAGAGGAGATGGCAAAGGTTAAAAAAAAAATCTAGCAGGTGAGTAGTAGAGGAGGGGAAAGCTTGCTCTTTGCCTGGTTTATACTAATGCTATAGTACTTGTGTGCTAGCACTCCTCTCTTTGGAACTCTCTACCTTTGACTGCTGATGTCTTAATATAGAGGGATTCTAGGTGACACTTTGATCACTATTAATAACAACATTGGGCAAAAGTAGGCATATTCTCTGACAAACACGCAGGGGTTTACAGAAATGACGTCATTCCTTCCTTTCAAGGAGAAGGGAATAGGGAAGGGACTAACAGTCCCCATGAAATTCAGCATAAAAGGTTCTTGGCTAGAGTTAGGAGACCTGAGTTATAGCTTCAACTCTGTTATTTATTTATTTTTTTGGTGAGGCAATTGGGGTTAAGGGCCCAGGGTCACACAGCTAGTGAATACCACGTGTCTGAGGCTGGATTTGAACTCAGGTCCTCCTGACTCCAAGACCAGTGCTCTATCCACTGCACCACCTAGCTGCCCTTTCAACTTTGTTATTGATAAATAACAGTAGACATTCTTATGGCACTTTACTGTTTACAAAATATTTTCCTCACAACAACCCTTTGAAGTAGCTAGTTCAAGTATTGTCACTCACATTTTACAGATGAGAAAACTCATCAGAGAGGTTAAATGACTTGTCCAATGGCACACAGTAGGTGAGAAAAAGTCAGGACTAGAATCCTTTAATCGAGTCCCTGATTCTAAGTGTAGTCTCTCCATTACACTGTGACTTGTGAAAACCATTTCTTTTCTCTGAGCCTCAGTTTCTCCATCTGTAAAACGAAGAGACTGGCCCATCATCAGTATTTTTCAAACTGTGTTTCAAATGGTTCTAAACAATGATTCTCATTTCCAACACACATAAGGAATAGATTCAAATTTATAGGAACAAAAGCTATTCCCTAATAGGATATGTCAAAGGATATGAGCAGGCAGTTTTCAAAGGAAAAAAAAAATCCAAGCTATCAACAACCATATTAAAAAACATGTTCCATGGGGCAGCTAGGTGACACAGTGGATAGAGCACTGGCTCTGGAGTCAGGAGGACCTGAATTCAAATGTGGCCTTAGACACTTGACACTAGCTGTGTGACCCTGGGCAAGCCACTTAACCCCACTGCCTAGCAAAAAACAAAAAACAAAAAATGTTCCCAAATCACCAACGATTAGAGAAATGACAAATGTTGGAAGAACTGCAAGAAAACAGGCACATGAGTACACTGTGTAGCTGTGAAATTGGTCCAGCCATTCTGGAAAGTCACTAGACTGTGCATACCCTCTGACCAAGCAATATAACTACTAAGCCAATACTCTGAAGAGATCAAAGAAAGAGGAAAAGGACTCATACATAAAAATATTTATTTTTGTTGTGAAACTAGAGTGCTCATTAATTGAAGAATGGCTAAACAAACTAAGATTTATGAATGTAACAAAATACTATTGCACCATAAGAAATGATGAAAGGGACAATTTCAGAAAAAGCTGGAGATTCATATAAAATCATGCCAGAAGAACAATCTATACGATAACAACTACACTGTAAAGACAAACATCTATCTAAGACTCAAGAACTCTGATCAATGTAGTAATCAATCACAACTTCAAAGGATTGATAACAAAGCCTGCTTCCCCACTCCTGACAAGGGGTGGTGAACTCAAGATGCAGAATGAAACATACATTTTTGGAGACAGCCAATGTGAAAATCTGTTGACTAAGTGCATTTGTTACAAAGCTTTTTTTTTCTTTTCCCAATGGAGGACAGGGATAAAGGTGAGAACAACAGATGCTTTTAAATTGAAACTAGAATGTTTTTTTTAAATTTAAACAAAAGAAAAAGAATCCTGATGTTCCACATGAAGTGAACAAGGGCTTACTAGACAATGTCATGACACTATTTTCTTCTTTAATATATTAAATGTAAATTATTCACAAATCAGAAGTACTTATTCTGTATGGCAATTTTTCAGTGTGAAGATTGGCTTAATTTCTTCTATTCTCAGTCAAGATTCACCTGACCCTTCTTTTATCTCAGAAGTATTCCACACCTCTAGGATGCCCAAATTGGTCTTTCAACATTTTAAATTCTAACGTGTTTGGTGTCCACATTAGTTTGAAAATTCTGGCTTATGTTATCTCCATGGTCCCACCAAAACCTAATACTTTATGGCAGCATGACACAAATTGAGCCACTGAGAAGGGAAGTGACCATCTCAATATTATCCACCAAGCAGTAGCAAAGATGATATATCAGCTACTAAGCTGAAGTTTAGTACCTTGATGGCTGCTTCAGAATATATAAACTACTAGTTCCAGATCTTAGTTGGATTACAGTTTGACAGGTATTATCAGAAAGCTCTCAGATGATGGACTTCATTCAGAAAGTCCCTAGACAGCTTTGGTTTGCGACTATATAACCCCTACCTCCTTAGGCTCCTACCTGTTCCAGACAACTTCGGCAGGCTTCCTGGATCAACTGCTCTGCATCAACATCTTCCCCGACATTGTCTCTGACATTAAATGCTGCTTTCTGAAAGAACTAGAGAGAAGACCAAGGAAAAGGTTAAAGACCTTGTCATCATACCCATTTACCTTGTTGCTCATTATCAGTAAGGGTAAATGACAAGGGGCAGTTTTGCTCATCTATTTCAAGAATATAACTAACAGGGCTAGGAAGGGTGAGGAATCATCAGAAGGTTTGTTCTTCTGCAATGTCAAACAAATTGGGATTCTGCAAATTCCAACAGACATTTTTAAAGTGACTATTATAATCAAGGCACTACATTAGGCACTGTGAATATAGAGAAAGAAATGACCCAGTCTCTGTCTTTAAGGAGCTTACCTTGTACTGGGAAGGTGGGTGGGGGGGACATATGAAAGAGTGAGAGAGAGAGAGAGAGAGAGAGAGAGAGAGAGAGAGAGAGAGAGAGAGAGAGATTTAATACTAAGCAGGGTATAATGGAGATAAAGGAAAGATCCAAAGTATTCTCAGAAAATCTCAGGAGTGACTTTTAGCTGCAGGAATCAAAGAAGGCTTTAAGAAAGAGGTGGCACCTGACCTGACCCAGAAGGAAGAGGATTCTAAAATAAAGTTTTAGAAATGTTTGTAGGCAGTAGGAAATGAGCCAGTAGAGAGGAAGAGATTGAAAATAAGTAAAAGACTGGGGATTACAGAGGTGGACAGTCTGTTGGAGTAGATGGGTTGGAATGGGATCACTTGAACAAGCAGAAGGTTGCCCTTGGTTAAAGACTAAGGCCATTTCATCATGTGAAACAGGTAAAGGAAGAGAAAGTAGCAGAAGGCTTCTGAGTGACAGAAGATGGGAAAGAGGGGAGAATAGAGAATTCACTATGAATGGCCTCAGTTTTTCTGAAGAATATATAAGGCAAGGCTGAAAGCATAAGGGATGATCAATCTTCCAAATGGGATGTGAACAACCTCCCTTTGACTTCAGGCCTTCTATTTCCTGCTTCACCTGTCTTCTGATGGCAGAGAACTGGCACCCTTCACTCAACTGTGACCATTCTCACACCTGGGCACACCCTTAACATCCCAGTGACTTTGAATTCCTGCAGACCATCATCCACATCTCATTCCATACCCCTGCCCCTTGATTCCTCATTTTCATCGCTCTCAACCTTCTCACCCCAAAGTTTCACCCTAACTCCATCCAGCCCTTCCCTTATGCCCTCAGGAATGGCTATTCTCTCCTTAAGCAACAATCTTTTCTTCATCTTAAATCTTTTCCTCTCGTTCCTTCCACTGACTAATTCTTCATGAAACCTGGCTTCTCCCTGATGACACAGTCTTTCCAGTACTGGCTACACCTTTACTCATTCTCCTTGGTTCACTTAGTAGGAGGGGGAGTAGAAATACTCCTTGCTCAACCCTGCCATTTTAAGGTTCTCCCCCTACTTCCATCACTCCGTAATCTGTCTTCCTCTGAAGTCCATGCTACTCACAACTACCACCCAATCAAAATGCCAGTCACTACTGTCTTATAGACTCCTCTGCCCCCAATGTACCACTGGGTCAACTGCCTTCCTTCCTCAATGAGTTTGATACCTAACCTACAATTTTTCTTTCCTCCCCAATTCCTGTCTTCATACTGGGGCAACGTCAATATACATACTGATTCTCCCTCAAATGTCCTAACCACTCAGTTCTTCAACCTATTCACCTCCCATGAGCTACTCCTCTACCCAACTTCAACCACATACAAAGAAAGTCATACCTTTGGTCTTGTCATCATCCACAAATGTACCACCGCTATGTTCAAGAACTCTGAAATATTCTTATCCTACTATGATCTACTGGCTTTTCACCTCTCCCTCTGCCTTCCCTTACAAAAACCCTTCTCTTTGTCTGCCCTGTGACTTAAAATCCTTTTACCCCTCAGTTCTCTTGTAGGCCTTCTCCCCTGCATTAGCCACTCTCTTCTCTTGACTCTTTGGTGAACCAATTCAATACTACACCAGCTTCCTCTCTTGAATCTCTAGCCCCCTTGTAAGGCTAATTATGAGCAGCAAAGCCCCAGCCTTGGATTAGTCCCACCACTTTTCACTCCTACACAAGCGCAGCTGAACGAAGGTGGAGAAAATCATGCAACCATTCTGCCTGGGTCCACTACAAATTTATGTTACATAACATCAACTGGGTCCTCAATACTGCTAGGCAATCCTACTATATACCTCCCTTATCAATTCACTATCCTACTCTCCACAATGGCTCTTTCAAACCTTTTTATACCTCCTCAAACCTCCTATGGCTTCCCTTCGCCTCCTCAGCTGAGAACCTTGCCTTATATATTCTACAGAAAAAACTGAGGCCATTCATAGTGAATTCTCTATTCTTCCCTCTTCCATCACTCAGAAGCCTTCTGCTACTTTCTCTTCCTTTACCTGTTTCACATGATGAAATGGCCTTAGTCTTTAACCAAGGGCAACCCTTCTGCTTGTTCAAGTGATCCCATTGCAACCCACCTACTCCAACACACTGTCCCCCCTCTGTAATCCCCAATCTTTTACTTATTTTCAATCTCTCCTCTCTACTGGCTCATTTCCTACTGCCTACAAACATGTCCATGTCTCCCCACCCTCAAAAAACCTTCACTTGATCCTTCCATCCCTGCTAACTATTGTCTTTTATCTCCTCTGCCCTTTGTAGCTAAACTCCTCAAAAAGGTCTTCCATAACAGGTGTCTCCACTTTCCCTCCTCTCACTCTCTTCTTAATCCCCTACAATCTGGCTTCTACCTTTATCATTCCATTGAAATTGCTCCCTCCAAAGTTACTAATGATCTTTTAGTTACCAAATTCAATGGCCTTTTCTCAAACCTCATTCTCCTTGACCTCTTTTTGGCTTTTGCCACTGTTGATTACTCTCTCCTCCTTAATATTCTCTTCTCTCTAGTTTTCAGGCCACTACCTTCTCCTGGTTCTCCTCCTACCTATCTGACTGCTCCTTTTCAGTCTCCTTTGCTGGATCCTCCTCCAGATCCCACCTTCTAACTGTAGCTGTTTCTCGGGGTTCTGTCCTGGGCCCTCTTCTCTTCTCCTTCCACCGTACTTCACTTGGTGATCTCATCGGCTCCCATGGACTTAATTACCATCAGCCTGCTGATGATTCTTAAATCTACCCATCCTGTCCCAAACTCTCTGCTGACCTAGAATCTCGTATCTCCAACTGCCTTTTAGACATCTGAGGTGGATGTCTATTAGACATCTTAAATTCAATATGTCCAAAATGCAACTCTATCTTTCCCCCTAAGCCCTCCCTAACTCCTACCTTCCCTATCACTAAAGAGGGTAACACCATCCTCCCAAGCCATCAGGCTCACATCCTGGGAGTCATCCTGGACTTCTCACTTTCTTCGTCATATTTACTAGCAAGATGAGGCCTTGCACAACATGTAATTGTGACACGGGCATTCCAGACCAATTTAATCATCTCTTTATCCTTCCAGTTTTAATATTTGCGCTGCCTAACACAGCCTCTAATATAAGTAAAAGGTCTGCCAAAGTTTTCTCCATACCTATTTCTGTATGTAAATGGGAGAACATGACTCCATTATTACGAAATTTCAAATGTGATTACAAATATGATGCTCTGTAGTAAGAACGAATTGAATAAATTTTATCTGAAACATCCACTAACCTCCTTGAAAATGGTGAGTTACAGCAGAATACAAAGGGGTTAGAGAAAAGTGGCTAGCTAATGCTCTGACTAACCAATGTTATCAAAACTTTCCTGAATTGGCTATTTGTTCAGGCCTATAATTTGATTTATGATTTTGGGTTTCTTTTCCTAAAGCACTGGGATTGCGGTGGAAATAAGTTCCTTTGTAATCAGGCTTAAAGTTGTTCCAAGTAAAGATTTTAAGGTTGGTTGGTTCAACCACAAAAGTTATTTATCTAAAGCACAGGTCTGATTAGGTTACTGCCCTGCTCAATAAACTCTAGTGTCTTCCCTATTGTGTCCAGGACCAAATACAAAATGCTGTTTGGCATTCAAAGACCTTCATAATCGAGCCCCCTCCTACTTGACCAGTCTTCTTACACCTTACTCTCCACATGCTCCTCCATCCAGTGACATTGAGTTCCTGGCTCTTCCATCAACAGCTTGGGGCACTTTCTCTGGCTGTCCCCCATGCCTGGAATGCTCTCCCTCATCTCCACTTACTGGCCTGCCTGGCTTCAGGTTCCAGCTAAAACTCCACCTTCTATGGGAAGCCTTCCTGACCCCTCTTAATTGCAGTGCCTTCTCTCTATTAATTTTATCTCCTATTTACTTTATATATAGCTTGTTTTATATATTTGTTTACATACTGTCTCCCCCATTAGATTGTAAGCAGGGACTGTTTGCCTCTTTTTGTACCTCCAGTTTCTAGCACACTGCCTAACATACTGTAGATACACATCTACAATGTTTATTGATTGACCTTCCTGAATGCTAGGAAGTGGAAAATGACATTTCCAGTTTAGAGAACAGCTAGGAGTCCTGTTCAGTGAAAGGCTGGAGAATGATGTTGGGGTCAGAATGTGGATGGGAACTGGCATTTCATGCTCAATGTTATACTGAAGGTTTCTGAGTAGAGAAGTGACATGGTCAGACTTGTGCCTTAGGAAGATGATTTTGGCATCTAAGTGGAGAATGAAGGAGAGGGGAGGCATTGGAGGCAGGAAGATCAGTCAGGAGATTACTACAATTGTATGAGTGAGAAATGATGAGATCTTGAACCAAACTGGTAGCAGAGTGAGTAGACAGAAGGCAAGGGTTGTGAGAAATGTAGTGAAGTGGACTTAACAACAGATTCGATGTAAGAAAGTGATGAGAGCCTGAAAAATCCAATGGCTAAAATCTATAAATTCACAAGAAGTTTGGTAGGATCTGTTCTTTCACTATTTTTGAAAACAAGTTATGTAATATCGGAATTAATTGTTCTCTGAATGTTTAATAGAATTCACTTTTAAGTCCCTCTGATCCTGGGGTTTTTTCTTTTAGGAATTTCTTGATGAATTGTTGAATTTCATTTTCTGAGACTGAGTTATTTAAATTTTTAAATTTTTTTTGTTAATGTGGGTATTTTATATTTTTGTAAACATTTATCCATTTATTACCTTTACTGGTATATAAAAGAAAAATGACTTTTTAATAATTTCCTTTATTTCCTGTTCATTTGTTTTGCATCTTCCCTTTTTGTTTTCGATACTGGCAATGACAAATGTCGGAGGAGGTGTGGAAAAATAGGGACACTAATGCACTGTTGGTGGAGTTGTGAACTGGTCCAACCATTCTGGAGAACAATTTGGAATTATGCCCAAAGGGCTATAAAACTGTGTACACCCTTTGACCCAGCAATACCACTACTAGGTTGGTGCCCTAAAGAGATCAAAGAAAAGGGAAAAGGATGTCCACCCTGAAGAATGGCTGAACAAGCTGTGCTATATGATTGTGGTGGAATACTACTATGCTATTAAGAAATGACGAATGAGGATGGTTTCAGTAAGATACATCAAGTGATACAAAATAAAATGAGCAGCACTAGAAGAACATTGTACATAGTAACAGCAATATTGTAATAATAATCAACTATGAAAGACTTAACTTCTCTGATCAATACAATCATCCACAACAATTCCGAAAGACTCATGATGAAAAATGCAGATCTACCTTCATGGGACTCTGAGTGTAAATTTAAGCATATTTTTTTCTTTGTTTATTTCTCTTGCCTTTTCTTTCTTGCAATGTGGCTAATGTGGAAATGTTTTGCACGACTTCATGTGTATAATGGATATCATATTTCTTGCCTTCTCAATGGGTGGTGGAGGTAGTGGAAGCAGAGAATTTGGAACTGAAAATTTTAAAGGAAGCCTTCCCTGAACCTTCCAGCTGCTATTTCCTCTACCCCAAATTATCTTGTAACTGTTTTGTTATCTATTAACGTGCATGTTGTCTCCCCTGGCTAGACTGCAAGCTCCTTCAGGACCGAGACTGTCATTATATTTATACCAGATTTGTCATTATATCCCTAGCTCCTAGCAGAGCCTGGCACAAAGTGGGTGCTTTATAAATATTTGTTGACTGACAGATAATGAGAGCTAACAGTGGAACTAGTTGCCTTATTAATGTGGAAACTTATTAAAAACCTTCTTTTTAATTCAAATGAATAATATTTTCTCCAGCCAAAAACCCTTTCCAGACTTTTCCTTTAGAAAAGCAGGTAAAGAAAGAAAGCTAAGGTTCCAGGAAATAGATCAAAGTAGAAAACTAATCTTAAGTCTTACTTATTTAAGATCAACTAAAGGCTGTGACATCTTTTCCATTCAAGGATTAAGATACTGATCACAGGAATGAAGTCCTTTTAGAACTTAAGTGGAACAGTCAAGGAAGCAAGAGAATACTGACTATTCTGGAATGCTAACCCCAAATCATGCTTTAACAAATTTTAATCTTTTCCTTGTTCAAGATCCCTATAAATGTTACCTCAAATTGTTTTGGGGTAGAGAAACATGTCAGAGGGCATGACAGGAGTTATGACAGTTTGGAGATTTCTTGAAGGTAGAAATGGCATGGATATGGAATAATAATAAATTAAATAAAATTGTTTCTGGCAGTCTTATGTTTAAAATGCAGAGTGTTACTATTTTTCTTTGACACTAGGCAGTGTGTTCTGCATCTCTGGAGGTCTTCAAGCAGTGGCTGAATGGTTATCTATCAGAGATATGATAGAAGGGACCCATGCATTGGACAAGGGGTGACACTACATGGAAAGACAGAGGGCAAAGAACAAGGGAAGAGATAGTCTTGATATATATACTGTGCCCTGGTCAGACCCTATTTGGAGTATTATGTGTAGTTCTGAGTACTGTATTTTAGGAAATACATTAATTAGCTAGATAATGCCCAAGTTCATGCCACATGATGACCCACTGAAGGAAATGGGAATACTTTAGTTTGAAGAAGCAAAGATTTAGGTGGCTGTGATAGTTGTCTTCCAAGTGCTCAAAAGGCTATCATTCTAAGGAGGGAGTAAATCTGTTTAGCTTGGCCCTAGCATGCAGAACTAAAAGAAATAGGCAGAAGTAGCAAAGATAGAGACTAAGATTTAAGTTAAGGCATAATTTCCCAACAGCTATCAAAAAATGAAAGATGGCTGCTTTGGAGGGAGTGGGCTCCTTTTTGTTGGAGATCTTAAGCAAAAGCTATGGAGTAAATTCTTTCTCAGGGACAGACTGGACTAGACAGCTGGAGTCCCCTTCAATTCTGAGATTCAGTAACCTCTAAAATTTGAGATTTTCTAATGCTAAGTCCTACTTCATACAACAGGTATACAATAGCTATGGAATTCATTACCACAAGAAGCCTTACAGGTAGAAAATATAAAGGGCTTATACAGGTGAATCAATGACAGAGCCATAAACAGCTGAAAGAGTTGAAAGAGACCTCTGAGTGCATCTAATATAATCTGTTCCTGAACGGGAATCTTCACTATGATAGCCCCAAGTGGTCACTCAAGACTCCTCTTGTAGATTTCCAGTGACACAGATCTCACTACCTACCTTTTAAGGGAGTCCATTCCACTGCTCGATAGCTCTAATTGTTATGAACTTTTTCCTTATGTTGAGCCCAAATCTGCTTTTTAAATTTCTACCTGACGTAAGTTCTACCATTTATGGCTAATCAGATCATGTCTAATTCCTCTTCTACATGACAGCTCTTCAAATGACCACAGATAGCTAACTATTCATCCATCTATGTATCTCTCTATCTATCCATCTATCTATAATGCTACTTCAAAAGACTTCTCTACTTCAAGCTAAAAACCTGCAAGCTCTTCAAACCATTTTTTTATGGCACAGTCTCCAAACCCTTTGGAGAATGAAATGGCAAACCACTCTAGCAACTTTGCCAAGAAAACCCCAAATGGGGTCACAGACAGTCAGGCATGACTGAAACAAATAAACAACAATAATTATTCCAGTCCCTTTAACATATTGATTGCCCTTGGATATATTCCAATTTGTCCCTCAAATGGTACCCACCCAGATCTGAATGCAATGCTCCACATATCATCTGAGTAGGACATGGGACATCATCTTTCTGATATCCTTTCTGATACCCTTTAAGGCTGATGTCAGAGAAGACAACCAAACCTTCCCATGGGACATTTCTTAGGGCTATCAGCAACAGAACAGTAGGATAGATGGACTTCGAGTCTGACCCAGTGTGAGAGTGCTTATATCCCCACCAGATGTTTTCTGATGATCACTTACTGGGAATGCTGATAGAGAAGATTTTCTGACATGTATAAGTTGGATTAGGTGGATTTGGAGGTCCCAGGAGGACTCAGATTCTGTGATTCTGATGTAGAAGATTAGATCCAAGCAAACAGGGTGGGTCTTTTAGGATTTCCCTGCCTATTTTTTCTCCAACATCACTTACCTTCATGTACTTGTTGAAGACTGTCTGAATCTCCTCATTGATGCTAGGTTGTAGGACAGCTCGAAGCAGGTCCATAGAGATGGCAGGGTCGGTGAAGCTGCATTTCAAAAAGGGGAAAACGTCACACTGGTTCCAAATGCTTGATTCATCTTTGTGCTGCCAGGGTCAATGACTCTTGTTATGGCTTCTCTGGCATTAAATACTCCTTAAATAACTACTTAACCTTAAAGAAGCATGACTTATCAACTTCCAAAACTGTCATTCAAAAAGTCAATCAATAAACATTTAGAGTATATACTACATTTAAGGTATTATAAATTAAGAGACAGGCCTTGCTCTGAAAGACATTACAACCTGGTTTGGGAGATAAAAAAACAAACATATTATACCAGCCTAGGGCTTATATCCAACTATCAACTCCTTATTAATGTTACTGGGATCTGTCTTGGGAGGGAGCTGGTACTGGAATATAAATAAACTAGGCCTTAGAGCCTACAGACTTTTGGCTTGATTTCTTCCAAAACCAAAGAAACTCAAACACACACGTGAAGCTCTGAAGACTGGTCAATCATTACCACAAACGCTTGGAAAAGTCCAGGAGACTTAAGTCAAGGTGAAGGATTCTGGCATGGGGAAGACTATGACGGACTTGGCTAAGTCACCAGCTAGCCATCAACTGACCCCTGTTTATTTTACAATCTTTGATTTTTCAGAACGTTGGGGAAAAAACATGTTGGAGTAGAAAATGCTCTTAAAACCCATCTAAGCCATCTCATGCCCCTAGAAATCACCCAAGGGAGAAAAACCCTCTCATTTTACATTTTTAGAAACGGAGACAATCTGTTTTCTGGATCTCCTCATTCTAAATCAGGGCTTTTTCCTTTACAGCACACAGGGTCTGCTCTCCTGACTTCTTCACAGGCCCCTCCCCAGCCTCCAGAGGGGAGGACTCCCCCTTTCCTGGGGCAGCTGGTGCTGGTGCCCCCCTCAGCGTCCCCGGGTCCAGCAGACTCACCTCGTAGTCATCTGGGAGCGGCGGCCCCTGCGCTGCACCTGCCGATGTTTGATCATGATGTTCCAGGGGTTCTGCGGGAACCAAGGCGCTGGTGAGTCCCCTGCGCCCCAGATCCCAGGCAACAGAGGAGTAGGTGGGGCTCAGTCCTAGCCTCCCCCTCCCAGCCTGGCTGCCTGCCCCGACAGGCCTCGACCTGGCCCGGCCCGAGGCGCCCGTTCCCCCCTTCCCCGGCGCCCCCTCTCACCGTGACCACCAGCTGCCCCGCCGAGCCCTCGTCCCCAGGCTCGGGACCGCCCCGCTCGGCTGCACTGGGACCCCGCGGCTGCTCTGGATCCCGAGTGGCCCCCATGGTCCCTCGCTCCCGCTCCCGGCCAGGCCGCCGCCGCCACCCCAGCAGCTACCCCCGCAGCAGTCAGCGGTCCAGCCCGGCCCCTCAACCACCGGCCGGAAACGAGTCCGTCACACGTCATTGCGCCGCGCCGCGCCACCCCCCGGAAGAGCGACGCGGCAGGCGGAGGGGTTGCCATGGGAACAGAGCGGGGCGTGCGTCTGAAAACGAGAGGAAAGAGGAAGAGAGAGAGCTGGGTGCTTTTCGGGCTGGGAGCGGCTTCGGGTGGGCGTCGGCCCGGGCTTCTGGGGAGGGTGTGGCTGATGGGACGCGCCCCCCCCCCAACCCCGACCCCAACACCACCTGGAGGCTGCGGGTTTAACTGCAGGGCGGGCCGTTTGTAGTTGAAAACTGAGTGACCCTAAGTGCCCAGTGCGCCTGGGCCACGGAGAGAAACGTAGTCGCTGTACGACCTTGGGCAAGTCTCTTTCCCCTCTCTGGGCCTCTTCGTCCTCCTCTGTAAAATGAAGCGGGTTAGTCGAGGTGATCTTTGGGATTCCTTCTGCCTCTGATATTCTTAAGTTCCTGGGGTCTCTGCTAGGAATGGAGGGCGACAGAGAAAGCCCGGCACCTGGGAGTCAGGAGACCTGGGTTCTAGGCTTACCTCTGCTCTTAGTCATTTGCGCAAAGTCCTTTCCCTTTCCTGCCCATCTTGGTTGCCGTCGCTGTAAAATGGGGCCTCGGAAATGCCCTTCCAGTACTGATGGCCTAATGTAAACCAGCTATGGGACTGAATTCAAGGGGCCTTATCTCAGTAATTGATGATTAGTAATCACCATCCGTGGCTTTGTTCCTTCCCATATCTTCACTGAGCTGAAGCCTGATAGGTAAGAGAGCTAAGCCTTTTGGGCATAAAGGAGAGTCTCTGCCCAAGACACGTGTGATTTGGGGAATGGCTGAGAAGGTTGACCGGACCAGCCATTAAATGCATATTTTAGAAGCCTAGTGAAGCATTTCCAAAGCTTGTAGACAAATCCTGTAGACTAATGGATGCCTTTACAAGGCAGAAAAAGTTTCACTTTTCACAGGAGGGTAATTTCAGGAGTCGCTGCTAGAGCCAGCACTGGATTTTACTGGTGCAGGAGAAAGATTCCTTCAGGCCCTGAATTTTTACTCTAGTTTTCACTTGGAGTCCTGAGTTCACTTCTTCTGTCAGGACTCTTTCAACAACCTAGTTAGCCCTGAATACCACCAGCAAGGCTGCAGAATGACTATGGGTGTCATTGGCGATCAGGCAAGCAACTGACTTGGGAGCCAATTTGTATTCTGTCCTTGGCTTTGCTAATAGCAGCTAGCTGTATGAGTCTGTACATCTCCCTTTCAGGGTCTCAGTTTTCCTTTTAGTAAAATGAGTGACTTGGACTAGGTAATCTCTGCAGTCTCTTCTAGCATTGCTATTTTTTTTTAGGCAATTGGGGTTAAGTGACTTGCAAAGGGTCACACAACTAGTACTCTCAAGTGTTTGGTCTGAGGCCTGATATGAACTTAGGTCCTTCTGATTTCAGGGCAGGTGCTTTATCCACTGCCCTGCCTCGGCTCGTGTTCTAAGATTCCTTTCAGTTTTGAAATTCTATGGTTCTCTCAATGACTTTGACAAAACTAAGGCATGGGCAGGATAGAGCGAGGAAGTAAGAAGGGAGAGAAAAGGGGAAAAAAGAGGGAGATGCACCCATAGTATTAGTGTGGTTTGGGGTTGCTGGGAACCCCAAAGTGTCAGGGTACGGATCAAGTCTACCTGGAAAGAATTCAAGCACTCAAGCCTTCTTTCAGTCAGAGTAGCAAGGTTTATTATGCCAGTAGAGCTTGATTCCCAAAGAATCTGCAGCTTGATGGGGGTGAGATTGATACCTATATGAAAAAAAAGACCCTCATAAAATCTGGATGGGATTAAGGAGTGATCAGTAGCCTGGGGTGGCCCAGGTGCTAAAGGAATTAAGTGCTCTGGGATGAGTCCTAGAGCCACAAGGAAAGAACTACTGAGTATCTAGGTGGGCTGGGCTAGTCCAGATGCCTAGTGAGAAGCCTGGTTGTGTGGGAGAAATTCAGGGACTGGGTTGCTGAAATGTATGGGAAACTATTACAGGTACTATTACCCCATCAGTATTGTTTGTTTTGTTTAGTCATGTTCTACTCTTCAATGATCCCTTTTGAGATTTCCTTGGCAAAAATGCTAGAATGTTTTGCCATTTCCTTCTCCAGCTCATTTAACAGATGAGGAAACTGAGGCAAACAGGGTTAAGTGACTTGGCCTAGGGTCACACAGCTAGTAAGTGTCTGAGGTCAAATTTGAACTCAGGTCTTCCTGATTCCAGTGCTTTCCATACTGACCACCTAACTGCCCTTACCCATAGTATAAATTGCCAGTTTCTTCATTTGTTCATTTCCTGTTTAGGTTAGAGAGAGATAAAGATGATCCTTGTCATTTTTTAGCCATTGATTCTGAACAACATTTTTATTTTCTATAGGTTTTTAAGAGCCTCCAAATTGTAATTTTGCCTTTTGTTTTTAAGATCCTGAGTTGGCTAAGTCATAATGAATTTGCTTTGCCTTTGAATATAACTTTATTAGATTGGGTTTCTGCATCTTTTTAGGTATTTCTTTTTGAGTATCTTTGCTTCCCCTGATGGGGGTATAAGCCCAAGCAGAGACCTTTGCCCCTCACCCCAAAAAGAATTTGGGTCCCATTTGTCTATGGACACAGAAAACCCTTGAATTTTCCTTGAACTCACTTGGTCTAGGAAGGCTCTAGTGGTTGCCTGAAGCTATAATCCACTCAACTGGCCTATGCCCAACCTCCCAATTCTTTGTTACCCTAATTGAGCCTAACACTCCATTGTTTATTACTGCTTCCCATCCTTGATCCTACCTATGTCCCATAAAACCTAGTCACTCCGTCTAGACCCTCTAGTCACCCCAGCTTACTGGCCACTCCCATCAAGACACCCCTTCTCCCAGCCACTCCTCCAGTCACCCCAAACTACTTGGCCACTCCTAGATCCCTCCCATAGTCTTTCTGTATATAAGATCCATCCTGGCTGCCATTTAGGGGCTGAGACTTCCTCATGCCTGTTCATCCTTACAAGTGTCACAGATGTTCAGATTCTTTAAGAGTCTGGCCTGTATGGCTCATCTTTAATAAACCTTGTCTTTGGCTGAAAGAAGGGTTGGGATCGAATTCTTTTGGGCAGGACCTGCATGTCGTGATTTTGGGGTCCCAGCACCCCTAATATCTAAACCTCAGCACTCTCAACAGAATTATAGCTTTTTGAAAGTGTGGCATAATGGAAAAAGTCTTAAAATCAGAGGACCTGAGTTGGGAGTCCCAAAATGGACATTTATTGATAGATAAATGTTGACTGGGCAAGTTATTTCTTTAACTGAGCTTCAGTTTCTTCATCTATAAAATGGAGATAATATAATTTGCATTATCTACATTACAGGATTGTTGTGGAGAAAGCATTTTGTAAACATTAAAGAATCAGAGAAATGTAAATTTTGTTATTGGGGCCAGCTCTCCAGGAAAATGCTGAGTTGGAGTTATGCCTAGTTCAGGACTTCCCTCCTTTGGCTCTACCCCAATCTTGAATTTGTTTATTAATGTCAGTAGTGGTTATCATTATCATTATTTTTGTTGTTAAATTGGTAATAGTAGTTATCACCATCTGTGACTCTGTTGCTGGTAGGAGCAATGTTTGTCCTAAGATCATTCCAAAGTCCTGCCATATATGTATTGCATCACTGATGTGACCTGTCCTGGCATAAAGAAATGCTGCAGGTCTGGCTATAACTATCATTGTTTGGTCAGTCCTTAGAATCTTGGGTGGGAGTCCATGTTGCCTCCAAAAGCCCCGTGTATTGTTTTGGTGTCTCCTTATACAAAATGTGTTGACCTGAAAGTTTGGTTAAAGAAGGCAAACAAGTTAGGTGATACATGATTATATGGTTTATTCCCTTTTCAGCTAGCGAGTCATGTACATGGGTAGCCAGAATGTGATTCTGACTCCAAGATTAAGCAAAATGAGAGAGGTTTTATACAGTTTAGAGTGATCAGATTCAGGATGTCTGTGTTACAAAAAATACAGCCTCCATATTTTTTTTTAACATATAGCATGGGAAAGGAATTTTCTTAATTGAATAGGTTGTAAATACAATAAAATAGGAGAATGTCAGTGTCAATAGAAACTCAAGATAAGAAAAGTCCCATTATTCAAGAGAGTATCTGGTCCCAGACATCCTGGGCTTAGTGATAACAAACGGGAAGAATGTTGATGAGTTCTATCTGGTCCTGGAATTTGCTGACATAGGAAGGGGTATTTTTAGTTCACTCAGAGAGAAAAGATTAATTCCGGTTTTTTGGCCCTTATTGGGGCTCAGTTGATCTTAAATGATTATCATTTCCTCCTTTTGGTCGAAGGTAAGCCAAAGGCTTCACCTGTAGACCAAGAAAGGTGTGGGAAAAACCTTCCTCTTCCTCAGGGGACAGAAAGAGATGTCCACTTGGAGCAGGCATCTTCAGATGATCCCGGAGTCCACATCCAGAAGTTGGCAGCTATGGGAATAGTCACATAGACCTGATAGGGGCTCATAGAAGATGTATGAGTTGATAATTGAGAGAAAATAGCATAACAGAAGTCTTTAGTTAAAGGCACATAGAGATGGTTCAGTTACCCAGACACACAGGACTAGGTTCAAACAGTACAACAACTTTTCCTCATAATTCACAAAATCACATAATTACATTGTCAGGTACAGATTAAACTAGTCAGAGAGCTCACAATAGACTAGTTTTGAGAAGAGAGATTTACATATAACCAAGATAACAAAGAAAACCTTAGACATGAACCATATAAAGCAATACAATCATTATTACCAATGTTAACTAACATTAAGTTCCTTGCTCATGTACAATAGGTTTAATTCACAGGCAGTTCAAAAAGGGAGTTCTGTTTCTCTGGTTTAGATTTAGAAGTTCCCAGATAATTTTGACTTAGTATGAATTAGTATAGTCACTTAAATTTGGTTCTCCATTTTTGATATCATCTGCTGCTTCTGTTCTTACCTACATCCTGTACCTGGTATAAGAATTATTTAAAATGTGAAGATCCAACCATAAAATGAGCTCTCCTGCCTTTTAAAATTACCAGATACTTTAATAAAGAAGAAATAATTTCACTTACTTTTACTACTATCCTATACAATTTTTTTGGTGAAAAATCTAAATTGGA